GTCGCTTAACTCTTGAATTTGATCATGTAAAAGAGAGTTTTGTGCATCCAGATCTTCAACCCTTTTTAAAGTTTCTTGAACCTCTTCAATCAATTTTGCTTCTCTTTCCTTAAATGCTACTTTTTCCAATTCCAATGCTTCAATAGCTGCATTTCTTTCTTGAGTCAATGTTGCCATTTTTTGATCTACATTTTGCATCTCTTCTTTTAATTTTGCTAGTAATTGTAAATCTGTCGAATGTAGAACCATTTCTCTAGTATACTTTTCTTCAGTTTCCAATGCAGTCGTCGAAGCAACCTGCAAGTCACTTTTAACAAGTTCTAATTCACCTTTGACCTCGTCAAGTTCTTCGATTTTTCTTTCAGCTTCTGCGAGCTTTTGTCGTAGCTCAGAATCTGTTTCTTGACGACCACTTGAGATCTTAGCTAATTCTTCACCCAGTTCTTTGACTCGTTTTTGGAGGGAATTAACTTCAACTCTCGATTGTTTCAGAGTATTTTCCAATTCCTCTTTACATTTATTATGTTGTTCCGTTAATTCTCTTAACTGTACCTCTGCACTTTCAGCAATATCGCAATATTGTTGACCTTGTTGACGTGCAGTTTTTAATTGTTCCGTTAGAGATTTTACCTCGGCTTGATTGGTTGCTAATTGCATTTCTAGTTCCTTTAATCTTTTAGTCATATTTTCGTCGCCAGTGAAAGGTTTCGATATTGAATGAGCAACAGCTTGTCTTAACTTTGCATTAGCTTCTTCAAATTTCTGAGCACTTTCTGTTTCTGCTTTACGAGATTCTTCCAATTCGTTACGAATACGTTCAGTTATTTCACGTTCCTCTGTTAGACGTTCTTGTGCCGTACTTAATTGTTTTTCCATAGTCGATAACAGTTCTCTAAATCGATCCTGTTCTTCCTGTAGACGTCGTCTCAACGCAGCGCATTCTCTGGTAGCATCGTCGAAACGTTGCTCGGTACGTAATTGATTTTCCGCTTGAACACGTTCCAAACAAGCTTTGATAGATTCTACATCAGCTCTTAACAAAGATTGTGTTTGTCTTTCCCGTTGGAATAATTCTCGTTCTTTTAAAAGACGTCCTTCCGAATCTCGCAATAATTGTCTTTCTTGACGTAAATTATCTAATTGTACTTCGGCGCGAGACAAACGTGTTTGAGCAGATAGAGCTTCATCCTTCAAGATCATTATACTTTGTTCGTGCTTTCCAATAGTAACATTGTAATTACAACATTTCTCTTCTAATGCTTTTATTTGTGATTTATATGACGCTACATTTGCTTGGAGAAGTTGGAAACGTCCATTCGCAGAATCCAATTGTGCTTTCAATCTACAACAATAAGCCGAATTTGCATCTGCCTTCTTTCTATGCCTTTCAACTTCTTCGCCCAACATTTTTTCATGAGCTATCTTTTCTTTTCTATACAATTCAAATTCGTCCGTAACTTGTTTCAATTTACTCTCTAATTCCTCATATTTTCTTTTCCATTCCTTTTCTTTTTCGTTATCCACTGAATCTTTAGATTTATCTGCCTCGTTTATACTTTCTGCTGTGCTTGCATTTAATTCCTTATTTTCTTCATTAGACAAATCTTTCATTTCTGTTGTATTTGATTGTTTCAAACTTTGTTGATACATATTTTTATACATATCACGTTGTCTTAATAAACCTTCCAACATTTTAGCTTGTCTTTCTTGAGCAGCTTGCATTTCTGCTAATTGTTCCAAGTACCTAATATGGATATTTAATGTTAATTTAATTATTGTTTTATTGTAATTTATTTTAATGTTATTGGAAAAAAATATTGTATATATAAATACAAACCTATCCAATTTCTCCTTCATTTCGCCAGAATTAATCTCATCCGTAGCTTTTTCCATTTCTTCTTGTCTTGACGACAATGCACGTACAATTGATAATAATTTTTGATTATTTTCTTGTAATTCTTCGATGTCTTTAAATGTTACAAGTTTTTTCGTAATTATTTGCGAAGAAGCTAGATCATCTGTATTTACTGTTGAAAATTCATTTGTGTGTAAACTATTACCAACTCTATTTTCTTGAACTTCTTTAAGAAGGTAACATACCTAATAAAAAAAGAAAAAACAAAAAATAGTAAGTAGATGGTTTACAGTACATATCGTTATATATCCTAATTTATTTCTAGTTTTTTATTTTTCCGATAATAAATGAATGTATAAATAACTTACCTGTCTAGCTAAATCGGCAAGTTCCGATTTTAATCTTTGATTTTCTTTAGTATAATGTTTGGATACACGATTTGCTTCATCAGTAGATTCCTGCAGACGATGATTTTCTGCAAGAAGTTCATCCAACTGTGCTGTCAATGTAGCAACATGATTTGTCGCAGCTTCGTAATCTTCACGTTGCTGTTGCAACACAGGTGCTTTATCTTCAAGTTCACGTAAGATAACATCCATTTGTGATTTTAAGCGTTCGTTTTCTTCGCGTTCCGTTGTTAATTCATTAATTGCATCTACTAATTGTGTGTAAATTTGTGTGAGACTTAATCCCTTCTTTAAAATTCTACTAGCTACGGCTGCTGTTGGTGCCAATTGTTCAACGGCTTGATCTAATCTCTCTATAATTAAATAAGAAATTTTATTTTATAAAATTTTATTTTTAGAATATGTTCATTCATATTCAAATGTTTACATGTTTACAATATTTATATCTTACCTTGCTTAATATTTTTCAGTAGTTCGTTTGCATTTTCCAGTTCTTTAGTAAGTTCAGTAATTTGTTGTTCTTTTTCCTGTAGATCTTGGTTGTGTTGTAACTGAAGTTGATTATGTTTTGTTTCCAATTCACCAAACTGTTCAGTAGCATGTTCTAACAATTCCTGAAGTTCTTTAACAGCGTTTATAAATTCTTCGGCTTTTGCATTAGCTTCATCTGCCATTCCTTTGTAAAGATCTGCCAGTCTAGTTTGAGCTCCAATTTCTTCACGGTACGAAGCGTGTATAGATATCTCATGCGTTCTTTGTTCTTCTAACTTTTGAGAAAGTTCTTCACAACGTCTTTGAAGAGATGAATGAGATTCACGCAATTGTGCAGCTGATTCATTAGCAATTCTCAATTCTTCATCGCGTTGTGATAAACGAGTATCAGTCAGAAGAGTTCGTGCTGATGCTTCAGCTCTCGTTGCTTGTAATTCTGTTGTTCTCTTACTTAGTTCTTCTTCCAAACCAGCTATTTGTTGAGAAAAGAGCGTCCTCTCTTGTTCCAAACGTTTTTCTCTATAAAATAAATTTATATATTTAAATTATCATTAAAAATTTTGCAATTTTTTATATTGTTAAATAGTAAAAATACCAACTTGAAGTCCAAAGTCATGTCACGGCTACGAACTTCTTCTGCTTCCGCAAGAGCTTGGCATTTAGCAGCAACAGCGGTTTGTAACTGAATTCCAAGGGAAGACAATTCAGTACGCATTCTTTCGATTTCAAAATCTCTTCGCTCAACTTGTAATTGCAGTGTATCTCTCTCATCCACAGCTGCATCTCTCTGTTTGCGTAAGTCTCCATTTTCTTTTTCTAACCTATAGAAAATTATAATAATCATACAATGTTAACGATCACTTAGATATGCATTATATCCAAAGTTTATTAATTAACTTTAATTTTTATCTAATTAAATTAATATATAAATTACCTTTTAACAGATTCTTGCAATTTCTGTACTTCACCCTTAACTTCATTCAAATTAACTTCTAACTCGGTAGTATATTTAACAGCCAATTCTAGTTTACCATTACATTCATCGAAATTCGATTTAGTTTCTGTTAATTCTTTCTGAACTTTTTCCAAATTTTGTTCTAGAAAACAAACAAATTATCAAGAATTAGATAGAGCGATCGTTAGAAGTAAGAAAATTGAATACAAACTATCGATACGTACCAAGATTTTTGCGGTTACTTTCAAAAACTGCCTTAGCAGTTATAAATTCTTCAAACTTGGCGTTAAAATGTATCCCAAGTTTCTTTTTAATTCCATCGGGTACTTGCTTCAATTCATCTTCATTTAAAATGTTATGAAGCACTTTCTGTTCGTTCTCGTCCACCGTCTCCATCTTTTCAACACTACGCACCAACTCTACGATGCACTTAACACTTTTCACAATTATATAACAATATTTTTTGTTTTATTATGATATTATTTTGTTTAATATAATCCCCGTTAATTCTAGCTACGATCGATTTATCAAAATAACTAATATTTTCGACATAACTAACGTAAATTAGCACAATCGTATAACACGCTAATGAATACAATAAAACTACCGGCACTAGAATTCTCAAAGAACTGACGCTCTTTCCGATTTCCTACAGAAACTATTATTTGAAATTGTCTGTATAGTTAAGTAACCAGATATTTATCCAATTGGGATCTTTGTCTAGAATGTATTTTGCTTCTTCAACCAATAGCAATTCTTCAACCCATGGAGCCTGTATACAAAGAAGACGATCGCTGTATTATAAATGTGGCTACAATATTCACAATGAAAGGATGATTTCTATTGCCACTAGAGAGCGCGCTAGTCGCTTAGTCTGGTTTTTAGAAACAGTAATTAAAACAAAAACATCAGAGACCTATTAATTTCATTTGTTTTTTATAAAATCAGACGTAGTTAAATCTAAATTTAAGAACATCACCGCCGCCCTCGTGGATAATTATCGTACTCTACATTTACTCATTTTCAACAACACAAATTCGACGCAAACGCCTATCTCAATCGTCCTCCTTGTATATAGCTTCGTTCTTCAACCAATAGCAATTCTTCTTACGAAATAACTCCAATAACATTTACAATAACATTTCATTGTGAATGAACTTCTTCCAAATACGAATGAGGTATGAATTTGATACAAAAGATTATACAATTATATTTATAAATTACAATGAGTATTTAAAATCAAATTTGCCAACATATTATTATTATTTATATTGTTTTAACTTTAATATATGATTAATGAAAACATGCAATAAAATCGATAGTTATCGAACAAATTATCGAATGATTTTAAAATTCTATTTCAATTGAAATTGGATTCACATTGTTGTTTTTGGAAACTTGTTTTAACTAAGATAGACGAATTATTGTAGTATACAAAAAATTCTTGTATTTATTCTTGAAAGAATGAAAATTAAATAATGTTTTCTACAAAAATAAACATATTGCCAGTAAAGAGTATTTTAGGTTATGCTAATTTTAGTATTAGCCATTGCAAATGGGAAACGATAATTATTTGTTCATACAATGTACGAGCCTATTATAAAAAAAGCAATCTGAATAAGATATTTTATAGTAATATAAAATTTCGACCTAAAAATGGTATTGCCATATTATTTGATGATAGACAATTTTGTACAAGAAATGAACCGAAGAAAGCGAATATTTTTGGTGATATTGGATATAGCAAATATAATAGAGCCAAAATGGACACGGAAGAGGAAAAGGAAGAAGAATTTCAGGATAATATAGCTAAAAAACCAGAAAAGATAAAAGCTGCTTGGCGTCAGTATGTTACAAAACTAAATCATCATATTGCAAATGGAGATTTGTCATCTGCCTTAAACGTACTTTCATTAATTAAAGAAAATCGTGATAAACCTACTACTTTCATGTATAATCTTCTTATACGTGCTTATTCCTTGCACGGAGATGTGAAGCAATGTTTCAGTCTTTATAACAAAATGAAGAAAGCACAATTGAAACCCAATGATGCTACATATACCAGTTTAATTAATTCTTGTGCAGAATTACAAAATAATTCTTTAGCTCTAGAAAAATTAAATGAATTACGCCTTCACTTGCATGAAACAGGATTTCCATTGAATGAAACGCATTACCATGTATTAATAAAAGCTTATAGTCGACAAAACTGTATTGCTGAAGCTTTCCAAATAGTGGATGAAATGAGAGATAAACGAATACGTATAACTGAAGTAACGTATAATTCTTTATTGAATGCTGCAATATCTGATAAGAAAGCTGGAATGAGACATGCCTTGATCATATGGCATCTCATGCGCAAATATAAAATAAAACCAAATCTAATAACATACAATCTATTTTTTAGAGCTATGAGAGATACAAACTTTGGGAAATGCAAAGTTAGTGATGTATTAATGCCTCAATTAATGGATATTAATTTAATAAGTAATACCAAAGCAAGCAGACCAAATTTGCTAAGTACTCCTCCTATTATTGCTTCATTACCCATACCTATAGTAATAAAAAATAAGGATGTAGAATGCGTATTATCACTTGATACGCAATTAGATGATATTTTTAAATATAATCGTTTTATTTTATTCGGCGGCTTGGAAAATGTCTTACAAATGATGAAAAAAGACAATGTCGTACCAAATACAGTAACGGCTTCTTTATTACTTGATTTAATTCCAAATACAGCATACATTGAAGATATATTTCTTCATAATATGAAAAGTAGCAACATTGATTTAGATATCGATTTTTATAACATGCTTATTAAGAAAAGAAGTATGAGGAGAGAATACGGTTTAGCTAAGGTAAGGCAAATGAAATATATTACTAATAAAATTTTTTCACAGGGAACTTAGACATTAAAAGAAGTAGAACTTTAGATTGATTGAGTTGGAAGTTTCGTCCCTTTATTGTCCAAGTTCCCTGTGAAAAAATTTTATCATTAAAAATTGTAATTTTGGACGAGAGAAATACTAAAGAAATATATTACTATTTGTTTTTTTGTTAATATTCGTCATTCTATTAAATTGAAGAAAATTTTAAATTAAAACTGATTGTTTTTTTTATAGAAAGTCTTGGAAGAAATTCAACGCAAGCACATGTTGCCAAATGTAATGACATTTGGTGTTTTAGCATTAGGATGTAATAGAATTAAAGAAGCGAAAGAATTGCTAGAAGGATTGGAAATTGCTGGATATGTTCCAAATGTAGTAATTCTTGGAACACTTATATCTAATGCATGTAATGCGCTTGATACCAAATATGTAATAGAAATAATGGTTTACATGATTGATAACAAAATTAAACCAAACGATAAAATTTATATATTACTGGATAAATATAAGGAAACATTGTCACAAATGTTACTATCCAAGGTAATAGATATTTATGCAACTAGATGAATGCAACATTTACCTACATTAACAGTACTAAAAAGTAATTTTTTTTCTTTTTTATACATATTATTGTAGAAAATTGCTTTCAAGAAACATTTGGAACTGAAACAGGACTTCGAAAAATTTACGGTAAAATATTTTAAATTTAAAAGGATGAATGATGATGATGATAATGATAATGCTGATGATAATATAAATAAAAAACATGTACATAATTAAATAAAGTCAAATTTTATAGATTATATATACAAGTGTATAATTTAATTTATCTTCTTGAATGTATTTTTGACTGTTTTTAGAATAGTTGACTCTGTCTTTAAAATATATAATATACATTTTGGTTAAAAGTTAATAAAAATAAAATAAGAAATAAATTGTCATTTAAAATTATTTTTATGTATTTAATAATGGAGAAAAACTATCGGAGGTAAGGAGGTCGCGTTTCTGGTACCCATGGTCGACTTCTGGCTCCAGTATTTACCACCCGAGAAGGGCATGTTCCACGAATACTGAGTTTATTATAGCCAGTTGGTCCTGTGGGTTGGGCTCCACATGTTTCTAATGCCACAAAATCATCTACATGCAAGGATGGAGGTCTTGATGTATTTGGTGGTCGTGATCGGAATGGATCTGCACCTCTTCCTATACCTCCGACTGTAAGACCACCTCTCAAAGAATTGGTAAATTGTGTCCTACCTCTCATAGGTGCTACTGTAATAAGCATTAAGTAATGAAAATATGTTCCTATGCATTGCATAATATACAGAATCAATAATTATAACGAATTTTTTAAATATATTTTTCTTTATGCTTATTATAATAAAAGAGTAAATATATCTCACCAAATGGTTGCTTCATTTTTGTAATAGGAGAGGGAGGTATTTGTTTTTGAATATCTCTATTTTCTTGATCATCGGGTTGAGTTTTTGATTGTAATGGCTGTATTGCATCATCAGGTGGTGCTTTGGAACATAAACTTTGTGCTTCTGATAGTAGATTAAAATCAGTAGGAAGTAGTTCAGCTGCAAAGTCTATTAGATCTACAACTGTTTTGTTTTGTATTTGATTTGACAAAATAAATGGACATTTCTTTGGACGTCTAGGAATGTATACAGGTGTTCTTAAACATCGTTGTGAAAACTGACTGAGCAAGGCTTCTGGAGTTGGCAATAATGGTTCTAACATTTCAGGTATTGGTTCTTTCTCTTCTTTATCTTCAGCAAATTTTAAAGTATTCACTAATTCTTGTGCGCCTTGTATTTTCTCTAATGGATGTCCAGTTTTATCCCAGGATATTAAAGTTGCTAATTGTTGTGCACGTAGATATAATGACCTCTTTTGCATATCGTTGGCAATCATATTCTCTAAAAACTTTATTGTTAAATCTGCAATGAATTTTGTATCCATATCTTCTAAATTTGAAATATGTTCTAATAATGACTTTAATGCGTCAGGTTTGTTTTCCAAACAACTTTTTACATGATACAAGCCATAATTATGACTGGTAAGAGATAGAAGTATGTACAAAGTATTTTCTAATATTTCCGGCTGAAATTTAGTGCTACTTGCTAATATTTCAATTAATAGAGTAAGGATTGATAAAAGTGGTTCTTTACTTGGTACCGAATGTGTTAATCTCTTTTCAAATGGTTCGTTAGTATCTTCTTGAACAAGACTTAATGTACAATCACATAAGGTCTCAAACGTATCGAGAATTTCTTGTTGAACTCGAACATCATTAGTTATCCTAAATGTTGCGCACATCAATTTAATAATTGGAGGATATCTTTGATCTAATTTAACTTGTGCTCTTGACGCTGGATTGGTCAAAGTTAATAGAGTGGCTTTCATAGGAGCATGCCTTGCTAAGTCACTAAGTAAGGCAAATATTAAAACATTATTTTCTAATGCTGTAGTAGTTATAATAACATCTAATAAACATCTACCTACTAACAATGCAGTAGGTGCTGCTAAATCACTCAATTGTTTACATACTGTGGAAAGAAGTACTAATAAATCTTTATTCCAACTGCTGCAAAGTAGTTTTAAGATTTCAGTAAGATTATTAGCTTGTGCTTGAAGATGTGCAGACCATAATTTTCTTACACCGAGTATACGTGCTGTATCATCAGCTATAACTTCTTTTACACTTAGTAATGGTGGAAGTATGCGTGATAAAAGTTTCAAACCAGGAATGAAATTACATGGACTGAAAGAAACCATTTTTAAAACTTCACCCAACATTTTGGTCCATAAAGATTTGGCTACATTTCCAGATCCATCTGAATCTACCACCTGCGTAAATACCAGGAGTGTTCCTACAATTTCATAGGAAAGACTTTGGACTAATCTTGTAGCAGGAATAGCTTCAACTAATGAGTAAACGCCGAGTAAAGGCACAACAGCAGTTAAATCTTTAAACTCAGTTGCCATGCATTTCACTAATCGCTCTAACAGTGCCCTAGTCAATCTAACACATGGAAGAAGTAATGCAACTAATGCTAATCCTCTTCTTCCAGTCAAAGCAGCACGATGTAAAAATGGCTGTTCATAAAATCCAGAAATGTTAGACATAACAGCAACAAGCGCTGTTAATCCATCGGCAGCAAATAATTGTGTTAAAGCATTTCTATACTTTAATTCGACATATGGTTCCATAGGATCTATGTCATTATTTGAAGGAAAAATTAAGTAATGCAGAATTCTGCATGCAGTTATTAACTGGCCTGGCAAAGATGCTGCTTTATCTGCACTTTTTCTAATGCATGTTACAAGTGAAGAAACATCTCCATAATTCCAATTAGATGTTTGAGCAGCTGTTGTTAAATATGATGTTACATCTCTTAAAACAGCTTGATTTCTAGATTTTTCAAGAATAATACTAGCACGATTTTGAAATATTTCTACGTGATCGGAATAACGTATGATAACTGATATTATCTCAGCAGCAAATTCACAAAGGTTAGTATCAGAAAGATAAGGAATTAAGATATCTATAAATTCACCCATAGGAAGGACCGTTATTATAGCTTGTAATCCTTCAGGATATATAAGGAAAGAATGGAGTTTTTTTAAAGCTACCCAATCAGAGGCGTCATACTTTAAATAAGTTAAACATTGTACAACTTGAAGTCGCCATGCTATAATAGAGCCTACACTTGCTGAATCATATCTTAAAGCTTTTAATAAATATTTTGTTATTTCTGGTTGTTTTAACAAGTGAAATAAACCCTCTTTTGTTTCTGAAAGACGTAAAAGGAAACGATGCGTCGCTTTAATTAAATCAGGTTCTGATTCTGGCGAAGTAAGAGCTAAAAGCAAATAAATCGCAAGTTTATGATGTTCGAAATAGCTGATTAAATGACACCGAGGATTACGATTTTCTTCTCGTTCAAATTCCATTTGTGCACTTGCTGGCAACTGACGCTTAGGCTGAGCCATAAGTGTTGGTGCACATATATATGCATTTGTCAATTCTGTTATTATTAATTTATTAAGTTGTTCTAATTCGTCGAGAACTTCATAAATGTGGACTTTTCGTAATAACGAACTCAAAGCATATTTTAGTCTTGCAAGTTTAGCTGCATCTAACATCATTATGGCATTTTTGTACAAATTACTTTTGGATTTCAGGAATTCTTGAACAATTAGCGGACTTATTAATGCGGCATCCAATGCGCGCAGTGCTGAAAGTTTAACTGGAAGTGCCACATTTTCGCGCATGCATAATGTTAATAATTTATAAGGTGCGTCTACTTTTAAAAGTATGTTTGGTCCCTGTGGAAGTCTACACAAAGCCTCGGCTAAGCGAACACCAACTTTGACGTGGCGCACTTTATAGGCTGGTTGTGGTTGAGCACGAGCAAGGTCTACATCAAGACCTGCATTTACAATATTAGTTAAGTCATTAGTATCACTGTCATTAAGATCAAAAGAACCAAGTGTTGCGCACAATGATTCACAACTATGTACAAATGTTTCTTTCTCTTGACCTGGCGCATTATTAAAATTTAAAACTAATTTAGAAAGTGACTGCAACGTTTCTCGTATTTTATCAGAAGTTTCACTATTCATAGAATTTCCTTCTATGGCCTCAAGTGGTTTTTCCAAATCTAATAGATCAGGCGGTGCTAGAGTATAAATAGCATCCAATTGAATATTTTCGCATTCAAATTCTGTTGTAGGTGGCAAATCATCAGCCATAATATCTTCGTCAGATAATATAGGTTCAAATGGTTCTCCAGTTTCTGCAACAGCTCCATCTTGTTCAGCTTCTTCTTCTTCGGCTGATATTGATTCTGGACTCAAGGAAACAAGAGATTCCGAAGGAGGTGAAGATGGACGCTTCACTCCTTTTTGCGCAGTATTATTTGCATCTTCCTCCCACTGTCCTGATTCTACCTTTCCAGTATCTGTTATTGAACTTCTGGAGGGTTCAACTATTTGAATTGGTTGAATGGGTGGTGGTGGAGTAGCTGCTACACATGTTTCCTATAAATATAAAATATACATTTGAACAATTTGTTCGATCAAAATCTTACTATTCGTAACCTTTATTTTCTAGTTAATCCTAATACACACTCACATTTGGATTAGATTGATTTTGATTTTCATAATACCATTCAGACTGTTGTTCTGAAGGCTGTGCAGTATTTTCTGTAGTTTCTTCCAGTCCACTTACACATACACTAGATCCAGCAGCAGGACTAATAACTTCCTGTGGATTATTCAATGATTTTGTCAAAGAACCATATACAGCTAAAGTAATAGTAGTGTACCAGCCTCGCAATACTAAACCATCAGTTGGTATTTGTTTCCGTTCACATTCTAATTGAATGTGAATATTTTGTTTATATTCTAAACCTCCAAGAGATTCAAATGTAGATGCTCCGGGCTTGCTTAAATCATTTACAAAAAATTCTATCTCAAACTGTGATGGATTAGTAGCACTGCAATAAATAAAAAAGAAATACAATATATATTTAAATATTAAAAATATATATATGTAATAATAACAGTAATAATAATAATAATATACATACACACACACATATATATATGTATATACATTATNCATACACACACACATATATATATGTATATACATTATAAATAATATTCACAAAGAAAAATACTTAAATTTTCTTTCAAAATTATCTTATTTATATGTACATAAACTTTATAATTATGTATCTATATTTATTATAATATTATTAAATAAAATACGTTATTAAAAGAAAAT